ATTCAGTGTATGTTTGTTTTTGTGTTTTGTCTAAAATCCCTAATGATAGCTTAGACTGTCCTCTTTTGGTTGAGAGTTTCCCTCTGTTGACATACATTTTTCTGTTAAATGCATGCATCAGAATTTTTCTTTTAAGAACAGCTCAGACTCTGCAAGGTGTAAAAGCAGTGTGCAGTCAGGGTGCATATATATATGTGCATATTCATTTAAAGTGTGCTAAGGGTTTTACACTCTGAAAAGTACTTCAGAGTTGCTTCAAAACCATCAAAAACCATAATAAATGTTTACTATTTGAATTCACCAGATAGTAACCTTACAATTAAATTATTGTGTAAAGTCAGTTAAATAACAGCAGAAGTTATTGTATTAAGGCCCCCTTTGCAAGGAAACCAATGTCAAGGAAGTGTGAAACACGCTAATAGATTATAAGCTATAGCAATATATTGCCTTTTTATTGCTTTTCCACAGGCAGCAGATTCATGTGCAGTTATTACTACCTATATTATCTGCTAGTTTTCTATCAAAAAAGATTGAGTCTATTGAATCATTAATCTAATATTTATCATTCTTATTGAAAATCCACTAGTGTTAGCGCTGTATAAAATATTGACTTAAATCTACTGCTTTTGCTAAAGATTAAAAACATATTAACCTGAAAAGCATGGTATTTCTTAGGACATTTTGAAGCTACTCATTGTAGATGTTTGAAATGACAATTTTTCTATGTTGTCTGAGGAATGATTTTTTTTCCTTAAATCTTTAGCATATAGTAAGTGACCAGTACCATCCTGATTTGATGATGCTGAATGTTCATCCAACACACATTTGAAATTTTGACGTGTATTGCATTAGTTAGTGAATATCAAGAATAACATTTTTGCTCATACATAGAGTGTAAAATGGGATCTTTTGTAGCAGCACACGGCCTGTTTAGAATGATATAACAGGCGCTGAATGTTCACATATCAAACAAAATGCCATCTTTCTGTAGAAAAGAGGTGTCAAAAAGTTTCTTTGTACCTTTAACGCATGTGATTATGTAGTACAAAATGCAGAGTTTGTAAAATTTCTTGAATATACAGGCAAAAAATGAATAATTCAAAACAACTCATAAGTTCTACATTCTATTGTATCTTTTATAACGCAGGCAGAAGATAGCATTGTGTTCCCAGTAGAGCTGAATTTGCACAAGTTACACCTCGGAAAATGCCAGATGGTCTATGGTCTACTTTTGAGAGCTGTCACATATGTAAAGATTTGAAAAAAGAAAGACAGCTGAATGAGAGCAGTGGATCATTAAAGAGAGAGTGAGAGTCCCTGGGTATCACTGTGTTTTAAGAAGCATTGTGTCGTTCTCCATATTACGCCTTTTTTTTTTTTTTTTTTTTTTAAGATATACACAACCTATAAAAAATAAGGTAAAAACACTTCTGTTCTAAACTGAGTGGTTGTGGTTTAATCTCAGAACTGTCAATTGCTTTTGTTCTTTATGCTAGAATGCGGTCATATGGTTCCTAATTGGTTTCAAGTGTGTTTTAACCATAAGATTCAAGTCTCCCTAGTGCAAAATTATCAATAAAGTTAAAATAAATTTAAATTGAGATAACCAATCCATTTGGGGTTTTATTCCAGTTTGATTTGACCTGCGTATCACACGTGAATACTGTAAAGCCAGTCAGCTAAAAAGTTGTATGTTAATTCTAAAAGACTCAAGTAAGAGTACTTTTGGAACAGGATTACTTAATAAAAAATTAAAATTTAAAAACCATAGAAAAGTCCCTAAACCCTTAGTAAAAATAATAATAAAAGCAAAAACCTATAACTGTTCAGATGTCCAAGACTTCCCATTTACCAACAGAAACACACCTCATTATGAAGATTTAATTTTGGATATTTCGTCAAGTTACTATATTGTAGCAAAGCCCCCAAAAAATATACAAACAATTTGTAAGCTTCCACCACCAATTTAACTGGCTTAGAAAAGGTCATAGATATCAGTTTTATAAACTGACATCCAGACACTGAGAATTTTTAGAAAAGTCTATTGCTTGTGTTTATTGAGGAAGGTTAACTGCTCCAGCAATTCTAGTTCATTGGTACAACTGCACTGCTCCATAGCAGGGAATCACAGGCAATCCAGGGTGAGGAAACATTACATGAAACATGAAAAACACTATTCTTTAATTACCAAATTTGCATTTAAGTGGGATAATGAAGATAAAACTATGGGGTGCTATGGACATAAATACTGAATTTTAGAGAGTAAATTTTTATTTCTGCTATTGGCAAAGATTTTTGGCTGTCTTCATTGACTATTTTTAAAATGGAAGGAATAACAATTGATTTTTAATAAAATTAATTTTGCACATACATGGAAAAAGAATCTACATGAAGGGTTCCTGGTAGTATACTTTTAATAATACTTATTCAAATAGGAGAAAGTTCCCTAAAACTTTGTTTTGGGACCTTAATGAGAGTTTCTCTATTATAGATATTGCATTAGTATATAACTCTGAACTTCATATAAATTATTAGCAAGTTCTCTCCACAGTTTAGTTAGACAAAACAATCCTTTTCCAGCTTGAGAATCAAGAACACCATTGCAGCTTCAGGCCCAAAAAGTATAAATAACAGCGAGTTGAGGAGAGCCATCTGTGAGGACGGGACTTCATCACCTGAAGCTGTAATTGGACAATTAACCGCAATATGTAAATAGACCAAAACTTTAAAAAGTGTGAAAACTTGTGACCGGGATCCATCTTGGGTAGCCTCAGCCAGGCTCTTGTACTGCACAAGGTGTATTCTTCGAAGGCTTTTTTAATAAATGCCTACTTTATTCCTTTAACACTGGCTAGCCTCTGTTCTAGGTAACCTCTCAATGCATCAATAGCACAAATTGAATTCCAAAGTGAAGAAAGTGCCTTGCTTATGCTTCTGTTCATAGATTTTACAAACACTAATGCAAAATTGAAGGAGAAGCAGTTTCAGCATTGTCAATAAAAAAACCTTTGGGCAACAGTTAGTTCTTCAGGTCTCAGATAGTGTGCTCCTGTTTTGTTTTGTTTGCTTGGAGGTTTCTGAGCAGTTACTACTGTTAATGGAAGGGAGTTATCTTTATCTTTTTATTCCCTGTAACATCTCTGGGGAGTCTAAAACATGAATGTTTATCCCAGCCCTCTCTTTGCTGCAACAGAAAATTATCACTTTGGTCAAGTAGGTCCCAGCAGGGTTACTCTGACCTAGATAAATGTGGGCAGTCAAGGCTATCTTCTGAAAATGTTAGTGGCAGTGACTAAAATATCAAAAGAAGCATGAACCAGTTCATATTTAAACTATTATGAAAAAGAATCCTTTGTTGCCTATGACCAGAACAAAGTTTAAGATTTGTGTGAAGTTTAATCTGGACAAGTTTATGATAGTAGAGAAAGCAACCTGAGCATGGTGTTAAGTGTTCTGGATAAAAGGAAAGCATTAGGGGTTTGTTAGTCAAATTTAGAACTGAGTTCTTTTAGAGACCATGTTGGTCTCTTTGTCCCAGTAGTATTTGTTGGATAGTTTGTTAACTAGTATCTGAAGTGATCAGTGGAATTTTTTCTTTCAGAACAAACTATCTATAATTATCTATGTGTATTTCTACCTTGATACTGTGAAATCATCAGGAAGTGGATATGAACCATTTGAAAAGAGAATGAACTGCAGCACTGGTTTTCCTTACTGCTGGCACTAATTTCTCATCCACTGGGTATCTAATAGAATCTGAACTTTTTCTTTTACATAACATTTTTAAATAGGTGAAGATTGGACTGTCTGAAAACCTCTTTATGTCCAAGCATGATGCAGAAGTGTTTTGATTAGGAGAGGTGATTGGGCTGATGCTTTTTGATTGTGAAATCTTGTTGTGTTACTGTGTTTACAGTTTGATTAGTTTTCACCCACAAAATCTACTTCTTTTTTTTTCTAAAAAAGAATTGTTAAATCAAAACCATTTTATTTTATTACAAAGCTTTATATTGAAAAATCATGCATCTTTTCTTTAGTTACAGACAAAGGAATACATAGGAAACCTGTTTTCCATGTTGCTACAAATATTCTCCTTTATGATGTAGTAGCTCAAGACAGAATGGCCAAGTTACATGCTTACTCATTAGAATGAGTTTATATACTCTTGGAGGCTTAGCCAGGTCACTGTGGATTCTTGCCTTGACAGGATTTTGTTTGTTTTTTTTTTTTTTTCCCTTGACCATTTCAGTGTTTCCATGAAATCCCTAACTGGCCCATTACAGCCATTTCTAAAATTGTGATTCTGAATTGAAGAATATGGAGGGCGTGACTCTGGTTTGCCACAGCTCTGTGGTGTTTGAATATATGTTCCTTCTGGTTCCTTCTTCCACAAAAGCTGATTTTGATTGGTTTTAATTCTTAGTAAACCATGATCTTTATGAATTTAAGCTCAAACTTGTTAGTTACCTGGATATTCCTGTTCTTCTATGATATACTGGTCTGTGATGGCTGAGTGTCAGGGGACCTCTACCATGTCACTCAGGTTATTTTCTGAAGGTTGTTGGGTTGGCCAGCCTGCATCTTAGCCCATTATTGTGGTCTGTATGTTTACTCCTACACTTTTTCTTCCATTTGGGTGTATTTCACACATTATTCATTTGATCCCCTCAATACAAGTTTATCTCAGTTTTACTACATTTGTTCCTAGTCTTGACTTTTTCCCTTTCATCAAATTGGTTGCATTATTCTCTCTGTGCTGTTCACAGAGCCTTGCAAGCCTTTCTTTGCACTGCCAAACGGGGAGTCTAGGCCCCATGCAGACATGAGGTGCTTTTTGAATACCTAATAATTATTTTTAATCTAGAGATTTCTTTGCTTTTTTGTCTTGATGGGAGAATGCTAGCTTGTCAGTCTGTTTTTGGCTCAATAAGAGCAAGGAAAGTTGCATTCCCAGTTCAGTTATCAATTTACAATTAACCCTTTTTCTCTTATATTTTAAGCACAACCTCGACGTTTGCCTCAGCCAAATACTTCAGCACTGGAAAGGAGTGAGGAAGAAAGTGGAAAAATCCAAAATGGCCATGTGGGTCTGGGTAATGGAAGTGGAATTCACAACGGGGTCAAGCATATGCCTGCAGACAACAGAAAGCTTTCATCTCCTGTTTCAGAAAAAATGCACAGAAAAATTCAGTCCACCTTGTCTGTCAACAGCAACAGCAGCAAGAAGAGTAAAATAAACTCTGTGTTTTCTCAAAAGCCAGGTACTTCACCAGAAGGTAAGCTGATATTCTCATTAAAAAAACCAAACTGAATAAAGACCAACCAAACCTCAGTAAAAATTATAAAATAAAGTGAAAATAATTGAAGAGTGTGACTCATGCTCCAGAAGCAAATAGATCTTTTATTAAGATAAAAGACAAGCTTCTTTCCCAAAGGAAAATATTGAGTATTTGAAGGAACAGGAAGGAATGGGAGAGTTCTTGCTTACAAACGTTTGGTCAACATGATCTGATAATGTTTTAGTCTCCGTACTTAGTCTCCCGAACTGATAGAAACTCCTGTCAACATTGTCACACACGCACCAGAAAAAAAAAACAACTATTAAGTACTAGTAGTTCAAAGCATAGTAAATATTTAAATGCAGTAATGGCAGGCTCTGTGAAGGTAGACTTTGCTTTTGAAATGTTCTGTTAGCTGATATCCTGACTAGCTGTGAGGTCTGAACACTAGATAATAAAACAATGACCTGTGCTTCAGTGTTTAGTGTGCCTTATGCTGTATTTGAGATGTAGATAATGTGCAGGAAAAAGCTTCAGACTCCTGCATAGCTTAAATAAGCAAAAGTAGATAATTTCTCTTATGTTTTAGCTGTGTCTCTGTGCTCTCACTGCTTGCACTTACACTCATGGTTCCAGAGTTCCTGAGCTTCTCAATGTTCCCATTAGCATTAATATAATCGATGGACTTTGCTACTGCCCTTAACAGGAGGAGTGTAGAGATGCTAGAAATTTTATTGGTTTGAGGCAGGCAGACTGGTTAAAAAAACACCTCTAAAGGGAGGGGACAGACACAGAGTGTTCAGTGAAATGGGGAAGATTCTCAGCCTAGATGAAGGATCAGAAGGACCACATGTAGCGGCCTGAACGAAGCCTACTGATGTCAGTGGAGTGACTCCTCTTGGCTTCAACTACTTTAGTCAAACTTACTCAGTGAATCTGTGTAGTAATATCAAGAACACCTTCAGTCAGATCTTTCCCTGGGCTGGTCCCCCTTGCTGTTTTTTATTTTCATGTTTATTTTCAAGAATCTACTGTTACTTTTCTGTTGCACTTTTAGTCCTCTAATATTTCTTTCCAAAATCACAACTTCATACTTCCTGTATTCTTCCGTGAAATATGCTTATATGGTTCTCCTTAGTACACTCTGAAAAGACTGTATCTTGAGAATCCTAGATCTGTTCATGTGATGGAAACAAACTGCAGGCCTCTGAATTTTAATAAATTCATACCTCTGAAAAAAGCCAATAAACTGTTATTTCAGAGGCAGCGCTTGCCCTGTTCATTCCCCTATACAATTAATTGTGGCAAACATTTCCTTTTTTCTTCTAAAATTATCCTGTAATAAAAGCAGTTGTTGTAGATTTTTTTTGTTTAATAGCTGGATATAATTATGTCAAATTACTAAGTGATTGAGGAGAAAATTAATGATATCTTCAGATTTAGCTTTAAATTCTAATATGTGATTTTAATATCCAACACAATTGTGTTAGTTGCCTGAAACTGCCATCATACAATGTTTTTATATACAGTAGAAATGTCATTATCCATAAAGGCATATCTGATTAGAATATAGATAATTAAATAGTGTTGTTGCACTGTATAACTCATTTTTTCAAAGTACAGAAATACAGGATAGTCCTATTGTCACACGCAATTTCACAAGTCGCCTAGTAGCTATGGTTAAATATAGTCAACACTGTACATCTGGCATTGTAATGCTCTCCTTTTGAATGAGAGAAGTTGGATATATGCTCTGAGTAGCTTGTCCCACTCTGCAAATGTCTGCAGCTCTAAGTTTTCTGATACTCAATCCAAGCGAAGCACAAGTTTTATCGTGCAATGATTAAAGTATGTCTGGAATATGCCCATAAGGGAATATTTGGTTTTAAGTGATTTTCTAGTTTTGAAATTTATTTTGCTTTACAGTTCTCTGACAGACATGTTTTATATTTGTGTAAACACATCTGCATGCACACATCTACAAGTCTTCTGACAAGTTCTTCAGCTTTTCAGTAAGGTACCCTATGGTGCTACATGACAGAAGTATTCTTATCAAGCTGTTGCCTTTCAGGAAGTATCAGTATATGCTTTATTTGTTCTATCATCACAATTTTTTAGAAGATGCACAATCATAAAGTCTAATCTAAACACAAAGAAGAGCTCACCATTTAAGGGAAAAATTATTTATTGATAGCTTTAAAATAATTGTGCTATTACTACAAGTCATGTTAACTCCTTATGACTACTTCTGGAAGACTGCATTACAAAAACCTGATATAATTAACCCAGTTACTTGTTTAAAGGACTATAATTGCATTTGAATCTGGAATATATGCATGTATATGCATATATATATATATATATATATATATATATATATATATATATATATATGTGTTATATATATATATATATATATATGCATATAGGTATATATGCTTGATAAATACATGTAATTATGCTAAGCCAGAAGAGTGTATTAATAAGTTCAGTGACTGAGGATTGCACACACATTTTTTCAAAATGGTATACACAATTTAATTTGAACCTAACTTCTGCAGCTTCTTTGTATGATGAACATTTTTGGGCAAAGAGGCATTTCTCTGAGTAGTTGCCTCTTCTGATTCAATGACATTTCTGTAGAGGCTACTGACACAGCTTACAGGAAGATGGAAAAGCTACAAAGCTATTGAAAATTATTTGTGACATTGCTTAAGTACTTGGCTTAGCTTTAACTTGTACCATGTTAACCTCGTAAGCCACTGGTTACTGCTGAAGAGTTGCTGGGTTTGAATTTACTTGAAGGTGTGTATTCATATTCAGGCACATATATATAGTGTAATAATACACATTCTGGGCAGTTTTTTAAATGCTTTAATGCAGAAGTAGACAAATTATATTTATTTCATACTGTAAGTAATGAATCACCTGAATTAACTCACCTGCTTAGTTTACTATAGCTTCCAGAAAGTTTTAGTAGAAAGAAATAAACTTGTACACTTTCAGATATTTCAATTCACTTTAATTTTGTTATTCCTTATGTAGTACCTTGGATTTTATGATCTAATTGCTAGCTTTGTTTGGTTTTTTTAAACCTGAAAATACACACCCTGTTTTTTTACTTTGTCTGCATTTTCTTCCTCCTTGAGTGTTTTGGTCTGTTGTCAGTCAGGAGACTAATTAAATTAAGTGAAGGAAAGTGGCCAGAGAAAAAGAACAGGTTATGTCCTCAGAAGGAAGAGAAGCAAAAATTCTGGCTAGCAAGTTGAGAGTAAAATATAGGAAAGAGAAAATATTTTCCATTTTTTTCTTTTTCCCTCCCAAAAGCCTCATTCTCCTTGATTTTTCTTAAAAAGCAAGATGTGAATATTTCTGGAGCACCACACTTGCTTGTAATGCAAAGTTTGTCCATGATTTTTTGCTCTGCTTTGCTCTAAATATTGTATCTGTTGACAGAACCAAAAGCCTGGAAGGACTTGAAGCGGGATAGAATCAAGAAACACAACATGGGGTTGCCTCCCATTCTGCACAGGCACATATTTTGCTCATGAGTATTTGAAATGTAGTGTGTTGCTTCATATACTGCAGATTTCAGTATATATACCAGAAAGCTAAATGAAGTTCAATATTACTTTACCCTGGGTAGCACATCTTCCCATGAAGGTTGGTGCTGCTCCTGTTGGTCTCCAAAGTACTAGGCAGTCCTAACAAAAGCTATGAAATCTCCCAGTCTGCCACCCCTCAAAAATTCACCCACTACTGTTAAGAACTCTTTTATTAATTGTTCCAGCTGAAAACTCCACTTGTGCTTTGGGTCACACCTTGTGAGCTTTTGGAGCTGAATTTGTGTAGGAAATGCTTAAAATGTAACAGACATTTTGGAAGCAGTAGTATAAAGGCTTTAAAAACTCCTTTTTTAAATGGGTCTGTAGTATATGTGGTGATGTCAGCATTCTAGAATATGCTGGTTAGAAACACTTTCACATCCAGTGAGATTTAGGAGGGTGTGAGTGCACCATACTCCAGTTCTGCTTCTCCTCCACATCTATTATTAATCCATATTGTCCCTGAAGAAATCTTACTCAGCTCCATAACTTACACTACAAAAAAACCAAAGGAATTATGAAATAGTTGGAGTGTCACTCCTAAAAAGCAGTTTTTAAACACTGTTTCAGTTCTAAAGATTTTTCAAAGGGACTGGATAGGTTTCAGTGAATATTGGGAATAAAAAATTTTTAGCTCAAAGAAATTTTAATAATAATGTGAATTATTGATGCCAGAGGTGTCACAGTACTTCCAAAATTCTGGTCGGTAGGCCACTAGCAAAGAGAATTGTTACTGTTTTGCACCTGTTATGAGAAGTAGAGAAAAACATCTTGGAAACGTGAAAAAGCAATTGTAAATGAGTAAAAAGGAAGGCAGTCTATCTGCTGTATTCAGGTGCAGAGCATTCAGAAATCTGATGCAGATCCAGTTGCAGACCTGTCCAGAGAAACTCAAAGAAGACAGGAGGTCTAAAGGAGACAGCAGTGAGGGAGCAGAACAGTAGATCTAGATGTCAGGAAATGAAGAGAGATGAGTAGCTGAATACATGCATATGTGTATCAGAGTGCTGGAAGGTATGTAATAATGACAGGCAGACTTGGAGGAGGAAAGGAAAGAAGTTGGGCAGGGGGAAGGATAGAAGAGGAATTTAATTAAGGGAGTGAGGGGCCAAGATAGGTGCTTGTTATTTTCTAAAAACCAAACCAAATCTTCCTACCAAATCCTTATGAAGCTTGATGTTACACAGTTTTTGAATCAAAGCAATCATTTATGAAAAGTTAAGGATGGAGAGAGGGAATACAGGTTTTAACTTGTTTTTGACATGAAGCTTTCACTTCTGGTCAAGTTGTTGTGTTCTCAGAAGTTACTGTGGCTGGGAAGTTCCCACAACTCCAGCAACTCGATAGTTTGAGTTTAATGAGATACTTCACTGAAATGGCTTTGAGCATACA